CCTTAGGGAAGGAGCAGTTGGACTGAGTCACCAGGGAAAGAGTGATGCTATTTGACATGTCTCCTCTACCAAGTGGGGAAATTGGAATCAGACAGTCCTGGGTTCCAGCTAGACATGTATACAGGTGTGCAAGTGGGAATATGAATCATCCCAAGCCTGGCTTTCCCCATCTGTGAAATGGGGCTCGTACTAATCCATCCAGACAGGTACTATCTGATGTGACCACATGCCAGAAGGCTGAGCCCAGCACCTGGCTTGCACGGTCAGCCTCCACAGAGCTAGCTCCTGTTACTTCGGTGTTGTAAATTTTAAAGAATCACCTATAAAAATACGTACCACGTGTGAGCTGGAGGCAGGAGGCTTAGATGACAGTTGTGACAGAAAACATCTCCAGAGGAAGGTGCTGGAATTCTGAGGCCTGCAAGCTGCTTGCACTCTCAACACAACTTCTGTCTAAGGGCTTTTCATTTCCCAAAGTCCTTCCTCTTCTTTCAACCTCTCCTTTCTCTGTCCTGCAGTGTAGGCCAGGAAAGCATGCTTCCTGTGTCTCTTTAGAGGAGGACAACAAGTCTCCCAGACCTTATAGAACTCACCCCAAGCCACACACTTTGCATGTAGCTGAACAGGGACCCAAATCCAGGACTGCCTGGTGAGACAAGGTATAAAATTGAAGAAGGTACTCTCCGGCCCAGCCCTGAGAGAGATCACTTGATGTGTTGTCTTGCTGTCTACTCCCAAGCCTTGGGTCCTTCCATGAGCACTGAGGCTAAATCTTGTGACAAATTGCACAAAGCAGTAAGTCCTGGGAGAGCCACCCCAGGGTCTTAGGGTGACTGGGTGGACTCACTGAGCTGGGCATCCTTCTGTCGAGATCCAGGGAGTTACCTAACTCAAGTAAAGAGTACATTTCTTTTTGGGCAATATCACCCCTTTCCTCTCTCTGACTCTCCCAGTTTTTCCCTCCCATCTCTGCCAAACTTAGCTTTTGTATAGCGCCATACCTGTTTGCTGAGGGGTCAGGACAGCCTAATGCAAGCTGTACAGGGATTCAGATCCCACTACCCAGCCAAATCACGGGGTATGATGATACTCATCGGGAATGTACTCAAGAGACAGAAGCAGTAGAATCAAGAGTTTCAGGTTAGCTTAGGCTACATAGCAAGTTCCAGGTAAGATTGAACCACAGAGCAAGGCCCTGTCCTAAAAAACAAACTAAACTCAACTAAAATACAAAGGCGAAGATAAGTGTACTAACATCATCTGGTTTGCTATTACTATAGCCAAAATTCATGATGTCTCTATCATGAACCAGATACTGAACTTTCTTTTTTTCTTTTCTCAGGCATGTTATTTAACATTTATATCAACTCAAGAGTTTTAGGTGGGTTCATTGTTTTTTTGGGGGAATAGCTTAAAGTCCCCAAGTCTTCAGTGCGTTGCTCAATTTTTCATATATATTCCATCTGGTCATCAAACCTGCATTACAGATCAGTTTTAACTAGTTATGAACTTCATAAGTGCTCTTTTTCAGTTGCTTTATTTCACTCGGCTTTGCTTGTAGGATTCATCCATGTTGTTGTGTGATAGCACTTGTTCTTTTATGTAGACTTCCATTGTGTGACTGTGCTACATTTTTCTATCTCTTGAATCAAGAATAATAAGCATCATCATCATCGTCATCCTGTTGTGTAAATGAGTAAAGCTGGGCTTTAAGCTGCTTACTTAGAGTTTACAGTCAGAGTAACCTTGAGTCTGAATGGGGACTTCAACCGAAGTTCCTCTGACTCACAAGTAGCCCCTTACCCATGGAGTAATGGAGACAAGAGAAAAGAAGTTGGCCCCATGCTGTCATGAGTACAACTGGGAGTCAGGCACATTGGCTTCAGATGGGAGAAAAAACAGCCCTAGGTTTAGCTATTGCCAATATTTGTTTTTTGTTGACCACAAAGCTGATAGCACAGGGACTGCCGTCACTCACAGCCCTGTACCTTGAGACTAGGGGATTTTGCCAACATTTCAAAACAAGTGCAAACAGCCTACGCAAAAGGAAGAGGCATCCTTGTGTATTGAGACTCAGTGGCCCGTGGGCAGCCCCTACCCCACCTCCTCAGGGCCTGCTTTCCCACGACAACAACGGTAGCTCAGATCTAACCATTTGGGACTCCTCCAAAGAGCACTGAAGGCCCTCAGGCCAGGGCTCCCTGTAACCCAAGCTTTATACCCAGCCAGAGGTGGAGCTGCCAGTGATGACCTGACTTCAAGACCAGGCCGAGGTGCTGGCGGACTCCCAGCACTCTGAATCCTGCAGGCCTTAGCAGGCCATCTGCAAAGCAGCCAGCGGGGGGAGGGGTGGCAGGGGCTGCTGACCTCCCCACCACCTCACCTCCTGAACTCAGGTAGCATTCCAGTGAGCCCAGCCAGACATGATTAAATGCTTGGCTACGTGCAGAGGTGGGAGACCCCGGGGGACGAAGGGCACAGGGCCAAGTCCTCCCAGGCCTCTGGGCACCCTTTGGTCTGTTGATCATTAACAGAAGCCACCTCATGGCAGGCAGAAAGGGGAAAGTCCAAGGGGGTGGCCTGCTCCCCCACCCCCCAGGACCCTCCTTCGAACTCACCAGTGCAGGGCTTCATGGGACATGAGATCATGATCCTCAGGGAGGGTGTGTACACATTCACCCAATCCACTGCTGCCTCTCAAACTTCTGGAGCTAACCCTGGTGGATTTACATTACCATATGCCAAGGACCATGACCTGTGTCTCCAGTATGCCAGCCTCTGACACTCTATAGAACAGCGGTGAGATGCCAACATGTTAACTACGCAGCCTGGGATCAAGTCCTGACCTTTTCTTACCATGTGACAAACTAAAGAAATTACCCTGAACTCCAGTGTGTCCATATGTGAAATGAGGACTACATGGAATTTTCCTGATGGGGTCATTGTGAACACACCAAGTTCTTAAAAGACTGCCTGGTGTGTAGGAAGAGCCCCACCTGATCCTCATAGCAGCCCCTTGATATACAGCTGAAAAGTCTCAGGTTGATCACCCATCCCCGGTGCAAGCTCACGTTAAGAACTGGGACTTGGGCTCTGGTCGAGAGTTCCAACAACCTTCTTTCCATCCTTCCTTCTGCCATGGCCCTCCTTCCTCTCCATAACCAAGACACCAAGACCTAAGTGGTGGCCAAACCTATGTTTCGTCTGTCCCATATCCTCCCTTGTACTCAAAAGTTCTTCCTCTCCCCAGAATGCCACTGACCAATGCAGAAGCCAGGAAAAATAGGTTTGCCCAGTAGGCCAAAGTAGCTCATGACTGAGCTGCTCCAACACCCAGGCCATGGGTGCAACGCTAGCAGTCAGAGAGGTCTTGGTCACCCGGGAGAGACCAGGTGGAGGCATCCAAAGAACAGATGCCCCAGGGTCCTTAGCATGGAAAGGTCTTATGCCACCCGACGAAATTGGCTGCCAGAAAGATCTGGCCTTTCCCACTACATATCCCTTAGCTTCAGCTGCCTCTGTGTGGTTCCTATCCTCCATAACTGTGGAGGAACACAGGAGGCCTCCTGCTAGTAATGGGCTCCACCTCCCTAGGGTCTCTGGTGGCCTAGAGCACAAGGCTTCTGCTGAGGACTCCTCCCATCTTTTAATAAGCTGGGGAACTAATGGGCCTGAAAGAAGTCTTCTTTTCCCAAGTAGCTTCCTCAGCCTATTAAGATCTAGATATTAGGAAAGCAGGCTTTGGGCCCAGGTGGCCTAAATCCAAGCCCATATGAATTCCCCATGTGGACACTAAAGTGGGCTAAGAAGTCAAAGCCTGGGGACAGTCAGCTTCCCAAGTGACAGGGAGCCTCTTCTTGCCTTTGTAACCAACCTGGCCCTGCAGGGCCTGCTGGAATCAATGCCTCTATCTTTGTTATCTAACTCTAGGGACCCATTCCATTGGAGAAATTTCAGGACTGCCTGACAGGTAAGCTTAGACCCCTCTGCTCTCTATTCACCCCGATTTCACCACACACACACACATACACACACACAGTCACATCCCACTTATCTGACAAGAGGCCTAGATTTACTCTGGTCGCAGGAATGGATGCTTTTTCCTTTCCTGAACCATTAGCCCCCCCACCCTGAAGTAAGCAATCATCCCTATTTTTCTATCTCACATCCAGACCTCCCACAGTATCTACTGACCAGTGGAATACAGTTAGGTATGCAGTCTTGGGGACTGTCTGCTACAGACCGGCTGTGGGAATTCAGCTCAACCCCACAGAATGCAAGGAGTTAAAGAGGAAACTGAGCTTCTAGTGGCAGGAGACTGAGATTTTTTACAAAGATCTGCTTGGTCTCTCTTACAGAGGAAAGATCATTTGTGGTTACCTGATACTGGCTAGGGAGATTTCCAAGGGGACTTTTAGAACCTACTTTGCATGGCATCAGAGGTATAATTAGGACTAAGGTGGTGAGAGCGATTGCCAACTTCTTGTGTTATGTCAATATTGATGCCCACTTCTACCTAATAGCCCTCTCAACAGGGGAGCATGAATCAAACCCAATCCCTTCATTTCCACTCTGGTCTTTTCCAGGCAAGTGGTTAATGCTTAAGACATGGTTAATGCCTGTGGGAGATACAGGCCTGAAGCATTCAATCCAGGCCTGATTATGTGCTGTCCTCTTCATCACTGGCACCTCAGACATCACCCAAAGTGAATGAAGGCCTCATGCTGGGCGGGTAGACTGGACTTCTGAGCTCCCTGGAAGAAGCTGAGACTTCATATAGGGTAAACAACTCTAGACTTCTCCATTTAGCCCAAACCATCAAGCCATCCCCTGAAGCAATGCAGGAGGAAGTACAGGCTCGTTGGCGAAACACCTCCACCCCTGCCTCAAAACCAGCACCAGAGACCAACCAACCCACCTAGCTCAAGACAGAGGGCAACCACCAGGCAAGACAAAACCACACCAAGTGAAACCAGCTCCACCACCAGTATTTCTTGAAAAAAAAAAAAACCAAAAAACGGGGTTTATTGATTTTCTTTAAACTGCAAATAGTCGTTACAAAAAGGTTTTTTTCTTCTTTTAAATAAGTTCACACAAAGAAAGAGAAATAGAAAGCAACGGTAGTGACCAGCAAGAGGAATAATAATTACATTCATCTTTATGTGTCTGTGTCTGTGTGTGCGCGCGTGCACGCGCACTAGTTCTGTTTTATGCTAACATTGGAAAACTCCAAACCTAGAATCCAGAACCTCAAATCTGTGAGCGGAATGTCTTGAGATGGGTACATGGAAGTCAAAAGGTTTTCCTTTTTGTTTTGTTTTTTCCCTTTTAGAAGCTATACATCAAAGGTGGTTTTTTCCTTCTGTGCTGTCATAGAACTTTTACATACATTCTCAGTCCTACTTGTGAAAGGCCTAAAGACAAAGAAAATTTGCAGTCCAACACAAAGGGGGTAATTTCTAAAATAAATAATCCAACAGTTTTTTGCATTTTTTTAAATTAATTTTTCATTTTTTTAAAATAAAATAACCAAAAAAGTGTAAAGTTACAAAAATGTTGTTGAAGAATAATATATTAAAACTGTGGAAAAAAAAAGGAAAGACACGTCACAAAATTTTAAGATTAATATGAAGATCATAATTTAACATAAAAGAATATATTCTATGGATTTGTCATCCCGATAAATATGAACAAAATTAACAAAAAAAGCATAGTTTGGCAATAAATACGTTTTGATAAGTTAAATAAGCTTTTTTATATTGATGTGCAGTGACAAGCAAAATTTTTTGCTCTCCAATTTCTGAAAGTTATATGAAGTTTTAAAACCCAGGGAAAAAAAAAAAAAAGCAGGCGTGAGTGCTAAGGGTAGACCTACGGTATTCCAGAGCAAAAAACCATTAAAGCTACTTCTACAGGAAATCGTTTTACACAGATATTGTATGTGGAATGAATACCATTAACTGCTCACCCCTTTACATTTTTTTTAAGCTTTTCTCTCATTTTTTTTTTCCATTACGTTTTTCATTAAAAGATGTCACATATGAACTGGGGAACTTTAGCACCAAGATCAAGTCTCTCATAGTCCATATCTAGCTTCCCCTTCTCCCCACTTGTTAAAAAAAAAAAATTAAATCACAAAGTCCCACTTAGGTCAAAATAATCTTCATCCTTTTTTTGTGGTTTTTTTTTGTTTTGTTTTTTCCGATCTTCCTTCCTGCAGACCTATACAAATCCAGGCAAGATTAGTCAACAGGGGTTCAAGCTGGAAAAGGTTTTGAATATCAGACAGGTTTCCTAACTCCAGCAAGAACTGGGGGTGGGTGGGGCAACTACTGGGAAGAGGGAGGAAGAAGTGTGCGGGAGACTGAAGGGAAGGTGCATTTGTGTAGCCAGTGGGGGGAGCTGCTGCTTCTGGGTCTCCCCCCCTCCCCCTGGGCAGAGGCTCCGGGAGGCCCACGGGCGCCCCCTGGCGCTAAAGAGGTAATGTAGTCACAGTGACAAAGTTAGATTACAAGGCACTAAGTTGCTTCTGTAAACTGTTAACTGCTTTTTCTTTTGTGATTTGGCACTTAAGGCTTAAGCCAGGGGAAAAAATATCAAGGCATCTACTGATGAATATAGGACTTGTCTGTTCTGCGTAGTTAAGTGGGCTATATAAACTGGAGGGAGGGGGGAGGGGAATTCAAGCCAGAATAAACTACTGACAAATTTGACTTGTCCTTATTTTTTTTTTTGGGGGGGAGGGGGGGATAGATAAGGTAAGGGAGAAGGATGGGTCATTCCAAGGTTCTGGGAAGGGGTTGAGCTTAACCTTGTTAATATTAAGGGCTGTGGGGAAGGGGTTGAGGAGGGTCTAGGATGTGGGTACAGCAGGAAGGGGAGTAGAAGGGGCAAGGGGGGGGGGGTCCCTCCCTACCCTGTTTTGTTTTTTTTTTAGTCATCTGAGATGGAAAGTCTGCTGAAAATGGGCAGGCGTCTTGAGTTGTCCAAGGTAGGGGAATCTGAGCCACTGTGGCTGCTGCTGGAGCTGCTCAGGTAGCCCTCCTGGTCCGAGAGAGAATCCTGAGGACTGGGGGGAGAGTCAAACATGTGAGGGGACTCAGACATGGGCCGGAAGAGGAAGGTGGTGGGAGAGCCACCCCCGGGCAGCCCCATGCTAGGGGCAAAGAGACTCGCCAGCTCCTGGCTGGAGAAGGCGAAGGGGTTATTGGTGCCATCGGGCAGAGTGGGTGAGCCCAGGAGGTCATCGGCGCTCAGAATGGGGGGTGGGGTGATGGATGTGGGGCTGTCCAGCAGCCCCGTGGCAGCGGCGGTGGCAGCGGCACTGGGAAACCCAGCAAAGCTAAAGCTATGCTGGAGACGAGGACGGTCAGCGGAGAGGTCCCGGGCCCCGGCCAGGGCACGGCGCTCCTCGGCGTTGTGGATGAAGTGGCAGCGGGGCCCGTAGGGGCAAAAGCCGATGGTATGGAAGGTGCGACACAGCTCGGTCTTGTACTTGGGATGGCGGGTCAGGCTGCGGAGCTCATGGATGCCGTGCGCGAACTGGCACTTGTCTCCATACTTACAGGCGCCGTTTTCTTCGAAGGGGCGGCACAGCTCCGTCTTGTAGCGACTGGAGTTGACCTGGCCGCTTCCGGGCTGCTTCTGAGTGGGCAGCAGCCGCTCACCCCCTTCTGAGAAAGAGCGGTCTCGGAAGCGGCTGTCCCGAGAGCTCAGGGCCGGGGCTGGTTCACCCTTGAGGTTGCTGAGGAGCTGGTTCTGGTGGAACTTGGTGCTGGGCAGGGTGACAGAGTGCCTCCGGGGGAAACCTCCACCAGCCGGGGTGCCCACTGCCTTCCTGTCCAGCAGGCAGCCCCCTGTGCTGGGAGCACTGTAGTTGAGCATCTTGTTACCCTGGAGGAAGAAAAGAGGGGAAAAGAGGCTGGTCAGTGACAGAGAACATCCACTAGGCCAGAAGAAGCGGTCCCAGGACGGCCCCCTTCCTCCAAACTCAAGAGAGGCCTAGGCTCTCCTCCCAAAGATATCCTCTCTCTCTGCTTCTCCCCTCCCCGCCCCCAGTACCAGACACCTGGGTTGGTTTGAGCCCCACTAAAAAGAAACCACAAAATTCTGGCCTGGGTGACAAATTGTTTTCTGCATGCCTTCCACACCATGTTGTACCCTTAAATGTCTATCTTCTGTCCCTAAAGGTACCACTTTCATCTATACAACCCCAACTTCTTTCCCGCCCAAATACAGAATATCTCATGCCAGGCAGCCCTCTCCAGATTCCCCTCCCCTTAGCCAAACCCCAAAACAAACAAAAAAAAAACTGGGTAAACCCCATAGAGAAGACTACACAGGAGCAGACTCTCCTCTTAATCAGACTCTGCTCTGCCGCTAGCCCCCTCCCCCACAATCGGGCCCTGGACTGGCAACTTTCTCCCCTTCACAAGTGTTCCCTTCCTTTGGCTGCCAACAACTTTTCAGACTGCCTGTGCTTTTGCTGGCTAGGGGTGGGGGAAGAGAGGAAGAACTGGCCTGGGGTTGGGGCAGAAGTGTGTGGTACTTGAAAACACAAACACATGGTCCCAGACTCCTGCAAGGGACGCCCAGGGCAGGAGTCTCTCCCACCATCCCCCCACCCCCTTCCCTGAGAAGATAGATGCCTTTGCACTTGGTCTCCCGGCTCCAAACAAGAGGCCTGGATAAGGGCACCAGTGTTTAATCTTGAACCAAAGCTGCAGATGAAAAGAGAAAAAGCACCAGACCCCACCCCCACCCACCTCCCAGTCAAGGGGGAGGGGGGACAGCAGGGCTGGGCACAGGCAGGGTTTGTTCCAATGGGACCAGGGTCACCTGCCCAAACTGTACCTATGACTTGGAAAGGGTATGGGTTCAAAATCTGGGAGTTAGTTCCAGGCCCATGTGAGTGTCATTGTGCAAATTCTAGTTAGTCCCTTAGGATCAGCAGCAAGGAATCAGGAACCTGTAAAGCCTGTAACCACAACCACCCCACCGGGCACTGATTATAGGAACCCAGTAGTGGGCCTGTTCTCAACAATGAGGTTCATTTAAAAAAAAAAAAAATAAGTCCTGCGGGAGAGAGGGGAGGGAGGTGAAAGAAAAAGAACTGAGATCAAAACAGTGAGAAGAGAGACCAGGGCCCGGGAGCCCAGGCAGCCCACGAGGGCTAAAGGCACAAGAAGAGGAGGAATCTGAATTCTTCAAACTTTTTGATGTTGCTCTCCAGCTCCTCGGCGTCCCTGCACTGCACCCCAACCCTGCAGCCCCGGGGGCTTTGGCAGCTGCACGGACAGGCGCAGCAAGCTGGGGGAAGAGAGCGACATGACCCGACGTGTTTAAGAGAAGGCAAAAACACTTCGGCAATTAAAAGCAGCCTAGAAGCTTCATCCTTTCAAACGGAGGGGGAGTCGGGGGCGGGCTGAGAAAAAAAAAAAAAAAGTTTTAACAACCGCCAAAGAACTTGGACATTTCAGCCGCACTCCGGATTTAAAACTTTGCGTGTTTTCCGTTGGTGTGGTTTCAGCTGGGAAGCTATCCCGCCTTCAAATCCTTGACTGGCCAGGTTCTTTTAAGTCTGGGCAGCATTTCGTCCCTTGTCCCTCAACGGAGGAGTCACAGCACCTCGCAACACAGTCAGGGGAGAGGGGGGTGTTAACCGACTTCCACCCCAAAATCTGCAGCCCGATCTACGCGCTGCCTCCGGCTGGAGTTTAAGCCGCGCTGGGGCGGACACACCAACTAACAAACCCCACGAACAAACGCGCTTTGGGAGATCTTGCTGAACTCCCAACTCTTGGCCTGTCTCTTCCTCGCAGAGGTCCCCAACCGCTCCCCCAAAGCAGAGGGGGAAACATCCCCAAGTCTTGATCCTCATTTCCTCGCAAAGGGACCCCCCCCCCCAACCAATCCCCAACCCCAACCTCGCAGGCCGGTACTCACTTGGACCCTCCCCGGCCGCACCAAGACCCCAGAGCGCTCCAATAAGCCGCACAAAGTAGGGATCAACGAACTCCTCAAATCTTGTCCCAATCCCAGTCATTCCTCTGCTTCTCTTGGGCAGCCCCGTTCTCGTACACTTTGGGGCCCCTCACCCCACCCCACCCCCAAAAAAAACCCTGCTTCTCGGATTCTCGTATAACCCTGGCAGGAACTGTGGTAACTCTTAAAAGACAGCAGAAGGCCGGGCCAAATTCCTTCAAACTAAGGAGGGGACACCAGAGGGTGAAAGAAACCCTGCGCCCAGGAACTCCCGCCATCTCCAACTCTGCAACACCCGAACTGGTAGTGTGTTTGGTGTTTTTGTGGTGGTGGTGTTTCTACAGATATTGGTGTTTGTTTTTTTTTAAAGCAAAAGACAATCTACTTCGAAAAGCAAACCTCCGCCCCGCTTTACCTTGCATAAAACTTCGCTCAAGTCGAAGATGGTGGCAGACACGAGTGTGGTGGTCATCGTGGGCGCTCGCACGGGGCAAGGGCGAGGCTGTGGCGTGGCGTGGCGTGGAGATCCCGGTGCGGGGAAGGCGCAGCCTCCGGCTCTCCGGTCAGGAGTCCCACACGCCTGCTCCCGGGGCCCCTCGCCTTTCTGACTCTCCCGGGCTGCGGCGCGCAAAGCCCAATTTATAAGTTTCAGATTTGGTGAACTGCGGGCGGGGAGGCGGGGAGGGAGGGAGGGAAGGAAGGAGAGGGGGGGAGGGAGGGGGGGGGTTGGAAGGAGGAGGAGGGGCTTTAAAGTTATTTAAATGAGGAAGAGGAGGAAAAAAAAGTTGATTGACACCGAGGTTGAATCAGCCATGCGGTCAGGCGGGGAGGCGGGAGGGTGGGGTGGCGAGGGTGGAGGGGGGGAGAGGGGCGGGCAGAAGGGGGGAGGGCGGGACGAAACTTTCAAGAGGAAGAAGGGGGAGGGGAGACGAGGGAAGAAGGCGGAAAAAAAAGAAAAAAAGAAAAGAAAAGCACGCGAAGCCGCGCGCGCACAACTTTTTTTTGTTTTTTTTCTCCTTTCTGAAAGAGGAAAAGTTTGGAGATCGCGGGCTGGGCGCCCGGCGCTCGGGGCCGCTCCCTGGGGCCGCGCGGCGGGGCGGGGGAGGGGCGCGCCCCCCTTTGTCGGCCCCGAGCGCCGCTCTGTGACATCATCCATTCCACCCCCTTCGGGGTTCTGGTTGCTGTGTTGTTGGGGTTTTTTTTTTTTTCCTGTTGTTTTGTTGTTTTTGGTGGGTGTGTTTTTGGTAGGACAGCCAGGCGGGCTCGACTTTCTCTTTTTTGGTACACCGGAGCTAAAGCCCCGTGCTGTGCGCCCCGGCCGCAGTTTCCATCTTCAAACCGTCCCGTCCCGTCCCTCTCCCCACCCCCCGCCACCGCCCCCCGCCCTCCGCGCGCCCCTGAAACTTCTCCAAGTGCCTCCCCAACTTTACCTTCCTCTGACTTCTCCAACCGGCCTGGGCTCCGCTTCGCCAACCCGGCCGGGCGAGGCGATTGGAAATTTGGAGGGTTCCCCCCCCAAAAAAAAGTTCAAGTGTAGGGCTTTATAATTGGGGTTTCTACCCCCGCCCCCTCTCTCCCCAGCGTGTCCGAGGAAGTACGGGGAGGGAAGGGAGGGAGCCTCCGGCGGGGACAAGGGAACTGGGAAAACTTTTCTCCCCGGGGAGGACTCGGGCTGGCGGGGGCGAGTGCCGCAGACTCCGCGCGCAGCACGCGTCCACACTCGAGCCGGCTCGGCCGCGGCGACTCCTGGGGGGTGCCCTCCCCCACCCCCCACCCGGGGAGACGGTTAGTTCTAACAGGCCTAGACGTCGCGTTTCCTTCACGCGTCCGATCTTTAAACTTAGTACCGAAAACTCTTGTCTCTTTCATGGACGCCTCTTCTTCCGCTGCCCCCACCCCCAGCAACGAACCACTTTCCACGCGTGCTCCGAGCGATGGGCAACCACCGCCTCCTCGCGCACACTACCAGACGCTAAGACCGGGAAAAAAGTTAGTTCGGTTACAATAAAGGTTAAGGCGGGTGGGGGGAGGGAAGACGCGTTTATTGTTGCTTCTCCGCCGTCCCCCCCGCCCCCACCGGGACCGAACCTGATTTGTCACCAGCACTGTTGTTTTTTTTTGGGGGGGGGTGGGGGTGGAAAAAGATCCCCGGACCGAAAGGCGGGCAGGGCAACGAAGACGATCAAATGAGTAATTTTTATTTTAATGTTTGCTAATAGGTTTGGTTGCTACCCACCCAAATACAAAGTTGTCCACCACACACACACACACACACACACACACACACACACACACACACGAGACTCGCTCCCCGCGCATCCGCTCAGGTGTTGGAATGGAGACGCAGGCGGAAATCGCGGGCCCCGGCCTCGCACGTTTCTTCCCAGCACTCGAGGCCGCCGGGTCTGTTATGAAACTCCGTGCGCCCCGAGTGGCTGCTAGCAAGTTCCATTGCGATGTAATTAGGTCACCCCATTAAGAGCACGTTTCTTAGGAAAGAACGGGGCGGGCCGAGCCCTGGAGTAGCAGCCACCCCCCTCCCCGCGCACGCGCGCGCGCGCACACACACGCACACACGCACATACACTTTACACTGCTTTTCTTATTTTTTCGTCAACCTCCGGGCAAACCCGGGGAAACCTTCCAGATCACCACTGTTTTTAGAAACCGGTTATTTTTCAACTTTGCGAACTCTTTTTTCCCTTTTCTGCAGCCCTGAACCCACCGAGCTTCCCGGCGGGGGTCTGCTTTTATTTGTCTCCCTGACTGGAATTGATGGCCCCATTTTTTGAACCCGGCTGTTACCCCCTTGCTTTTTCTTCTGTCCAGCTGCCTGTTGCTTCCCTCCCTGCTCCCATTTCTCATGTTTGCTTTTTTCAAGTATGGCATGGACCAGAAAGGGAAATAACTCCCATCCACCTTCATGCATATCATTCGAGTATAGTTCATTTCTTAAGGGATTTCTTTTTTCTTTTCCCGGTGCCTTCTCCTAGCTCTGAGAAGTGGGTGCTGGGGCGGGAGAAAGGGGTTCGTGCAGTTTCTTGGTGACGAGGTAATGAGTTCCAGACTCCAGTCCAGACTCTTCGCGTTAAAATCCCCCAGGTTAGTCAGTTTACACCCCCCCACACACACACCCCAACACACACCCAAAGGGCTGGTTAAGTCTTAAAACTCCCGAGTGTTCGAAAAGCTCAGCGGGGGAACGCTGGGCGGGATGGAAAAGCCTGGCGGGGGGCGGGGGGGGAGGGGAAAGGAAGGAGAGAAGGGCTGGGGGTGGGGACGGGGTGCCGGCCCCCCGGGGCGCAGGCGGAGTCCCAGCTCCGGGCGACCCCGCTCCTCTCCCACGGCTGTGGGCCGCGAGCACGTCCGCGGGGCCTCGACGCCCCGATCTGGCTAAATAAGTGATGTGTGTTTGCAAAGAGAAACGCGTTTATTCCTCGAATTTCCTCCACTTTTCCAACTTTTCCTGCGGGCCTCTCCTCGCCGGCTCCCCGGGGGGCGCGGGCTCCGGAGCTGTTTACCCACCCCGCCGCCGCCCGCCCGGGTTCGTTCCAGCTCCCAGAACCTGTCTCTATAATTAAACTTTTTAATTGTCGGGTTGCAACGTCACTTAGGGGACTTTCCAAGGGTGAGGAACCGAGGGGAGGAAGCGAGCTCCTTAACCCTTCGGTGACCTAGCGTCCGGGCGGCGGATGGCGTGCGGTGCGGTGCGGTGCGGAGGTGCGGGCCGGGGCCCCTTGGTGCGCCACCCCCCCGAGCGTGCCCGCAGGTGGGTGGCCGAAGGAGCTAGCCCGGGCCGGGGCCGGGGCCGGTGGCCAGGCAGAGCAGTGCGCGGGTGCGCGGCCCTCCGCCGTGCAGGCCGTGGCGTCACCACCCCCTCCCGGACACCTCCCCCGGGGCGGCCACTCCCCCAGCGGCCCAGGCGCTGCGCACCGCCAGGCCTGACTTCCGGGCGCTCCCTATCCGCGGCCCGAGAGGGGGAAGACCAGGTACTTTGATGGGGGGTGGGGCTGCTAGGTTCGTGAAAGCCCGGAGTGAAAGTCCTCGGGCGGAAGGAGACCCGGCGGTGCGTTCTTCGGGTAATCTGGAGCCTGGGCGCACGTCGGGGCTGGCGAGGTGGTGGAGCTCCCAGCCCAGGACACTCGACCCCCCCTTCCCGATGGCCGGCTGATGGCCTGCACCCCTCCAAGCACCACCTTCCCTGGGCTTTGGGAGGTTGCACTTCCTTCTGATCGTTTGCAAAAAAAAAACAACTCAAATTCTGAGCCTTCCCTTCCCCCAGCCTGAGAGCCTGGCACCGCTTCAAGGTCCTGGGGTGAGAGGGAAAAGGCGATCTGTCCGCGGGAGGCCCTGCAGTCACCTGGTTTGGAGTTACCTGGAGTGTTTTGAGGACTGCAGATCAGGACTTGGACCCCCGCCCAGGAAATCAGACGGTCTGATGATGAGACTAGGAATCTACGCTGTCGGTAAATTTCCTGCAGATAATTCAGACACTGGTGTTTGGGAAATCAGTGGTCGGTCCAAGATGTCGGAGTTGAGAGGGCCTTGGTTCAAACGTCTGCCATTTTCTAGCTGAGTTATATTTTTTTTTTTAAGACAGAAGTCTTGCTAAGTTACCTATGCTGCCCTCTACCTGTGTGCTCAAGTGAGCCTGGAAAAGAGCAGGGGAGGGGTGGGGGAATGGGGTCAGGATGAAGCATGTGGAGCTGTTGCCTAACGGGAAAATACTTATTGTTACAAGTATTTCTTTAAAGACTGCTTGGGCCCAGTGGATAGCAGAAGCAAGAAAGTCCTAAATACCTCAAAATTCCTAAAGCCCTTCAGAGCACTTCAGGGTGTCACTCAGCTGCCATATTCCTCTCCCCTGAAGCAGGCGGAGGCCTCAGGAGAAGGCAGTGCAGACACCAGCTTTGTGTCTGGAATCTTTGGGGTAAGCACAGAGGAACGGGGAACCCAACCCCAGCGCCAGCAAGGTGACATTTCAAGGCTCCCTGGGCCTTGAAATAGGCCCATTCTTAGGTCCATTGCTTTAACTTTTTCCCTGTGGGGATGTTCCAGAGTTTGATTAAATTCTGCCATAGCCCACAGTTGTCCTCCCTGCAAGCTACTAAACCTGCCTAGAGCAAATCTCCAGTCCAGCATAATCTGGCTCTTGTGTGGACCTTGACATTTCCCTATCACCACTCCCCAAGCCCAAGCCCAAAACACTGCTCTAGTCAGTTGTAGAGAAAGATGAGCCATCTTCCTCATTTTACCCAGGGACTGCACATACACATCCTGTCTAAAATCTTACTTTTGGGCCAAGAAAATTCTTTAGAACCTAGTTGAAACATCTCTTCCTATGGTTTACTTTTTTTTCTTTTTTTTTTTGTCGGTCATGGGGCTTGAACTCTGGGCCTGAACACTATCCCTCAGCTCTTCAGCTCAAAGCTAGTGCTCTACCACTTGAGCCACAGCACCACTGAGTGGTTTATTGGAGATAAGAATCTCATGGACTTTCCTGCCTGGGCTAGCTTTGAACCCACTAGCTTTTTTGCTCAATGCTAGTGCTCTGCCACTTGAGCCACAGCTCCACTTCTGACCCTTTGTCGGTCCATTGGAGATAAAAGTCTCAGGGACCTTCCTGCCTTGACTTGCTTCAAACAATGAACCTCAGATCTCAGTCTCCTGAGTAGCTAGGATTACAGATAAGTCTACCAGCATCCTACTGTACCTATGCTTTCTCATGTATTCATGGGATGTTCATTTCCTTGAGTAGTTTCAGTTTTTGAGTACATATTCATGCTTAAACGGTTGCTTTACTTTTTAACGTGCAATAAAATTGACCTTTATTTGGCATACACATCTACAAGTGTTGATCTGGATATATTCATGCAACCACAATCAGGAAACAGTAGTTCCATCACCCCTCCCCAAATCTCCCAAGTACTTTGTAGTCATACCCTCCCTCATCTCCCATCCCCCAACTCCTCAACACCACTGATCCTTTCTCTCCCGTAATTCTGTCTTTTTCAGACTGTCATATAAATGGAATCATACAGTAGTATGATTTCACATAGTATAATGCCTCTGAAATTTGCCCATGTTGTTGCCTTTACCAATAGTTTGTGTCTCCTGATTGATAAATAGTAGTTCACTGCCTAAATATACCATAGTTTATGCACTAGCTATGCTTCGAAGGACATTGTTTACAACCTTTGGCTATGAGAAACAAATATCCATATTTTTTATTAATATACATTCTTATTTCTCTAGGGTAAATAACTGGAATGAGATTTCTGGGTCACAAGTATTTCTGGGTCATGTGATGAATGTATGTTAAAAGTAAAAACCACTGAACCATTTTCCAGAACAATGAGTTTATAGTTGTTCTGCATCCTCCCTTTGTTTTTATTTTTACTGTAATCATTCCAGTAATAACCATAATTCATTAAGGTTTTAATTTGTAGTTCTCTAATAAATAATGATATTGAATATCATTTCATGTGTCATCTTTATTGTCTTTGGTGTAAAGTCTTTTCCAACATCTTTACCTATTTTTTTCTTACTGTTGAGATTTGAGAATTGTTTATATATTCTAGATGTAGTTCCTTGGTCAGATCTGCAAATATTTCGAGTCTGCACTTTTAATCTTTTCAATCTGGGAACAAAGTGCCTTTCACAAAGCAAAAGTTTGTCGTTTTCATGAAATCTAATTGATCAGTTTTATCTTTTGTGGAGCATGCTTTTGGTTTCATAGCTAAGGACCCTGTATAACCCCAGGTCAGTATGATTTTTTTTTTAAAAGCAGTACTGGGGCTGGAATTTAGGGCTTTGAGTACTTAGTAGGCAAAAACTCATGTTGAGCTATGCTTCCAGTCATTTTCCCCCCACTGGTTATTTTTAGATAAGAATCTTGTCCTTCTCTAACCTTCCAGGAGCACACCTGGACTTCCATTATCTATTTTAGGTTTCTCATCATAACTGGAATGATAGATATTCATCCATACTCAGATTCATTGTGATAGGACCTTACAAACTTTTCTGCCTGGGCTGGCCTGGAAACTTGATCCTCCCATTCTCAGCCTTCCACATAACTACGATGACAAGTATAGGCCATCATACCTAGTTATGAATTGAGAAGAGGTCTTGTGAACTCTTCTGCTCAGGTTGGCCTTTAACTGAAATTACCCTGATCTTGGCTTCCTGAATATCTAGAATTACAGATGTGAGCCACCAGTACCCAGTTAGGATTTTTTTGGGGGGGAGGGGGGGCGCTAAGATTTTTCTTTTTAACTATATATAATTGCATTTGTAATCCTCCTCCTATTTTGAATATTTTATCAAGGTAATACCTTTTGTCTCCTGTAACCTTTTTTGATTCTGTTTTCTGGATTACTTTTGTATGGAGTATCTTTGGGAGGGTGGTAGGGGTAGGCAGGAGTGTGAACCCAGGGCCTCATGTATGCATCATGTATGTTCTACCACTAAGGTAGATCATTTATAGAGGTTTTCACCTTCAATCAATTGTCTTTTGGATCTACTATATGCTGTTGACAGCATATAGTTGGGTCATGTTTTCTTGTTAAATCCATTCTAACCAATCTGTCTTATAATTGAGAGTGTTTGGTCCATTCACATTTACAGCTATAATTAACAAGGAGGGACTTCATTCTGGCCTTTCGCTATTTAGTTTTTTCTTGTCTGCTTGGTTTGAGTCTCTTGGTGGTTTTTATTTGGTTTTCAGTGCTGGGGACAGGACCCAAGATCTCATGCATGCTAGGTAAGTCACACTTGCGCATGTGTGCACACACATACACACACAGACACATACCTAGCACTCACTATTTGTTTTCTAGCTGTCTTCTAGATATATTGGCACTCATTTCCTGAACCTTGAAAAATACTTTCAAAGACCCTTAGTGGATTCTTGGCATCACATAGTACCAAGCAGAATGTTTTACATTATTGCCTATACATACAAATCTATGAGAAAAATTACTATACATTAGACACAGAAAGAAATTAACAGCAGTGTGCAATAAAATAGAACAATTATAACAATAATGTAAGAAGTCAAAATATTTTATTATATAACTCCAGATGTACACCATAATCCCACCACTCAGGAGACCAAGGCGGGACCATTAAATATGAGGTCAGCATGGGCTATGCAGTAAGACCCTGTCTCAAAACAAAAAAAAAATTTTTTTGTGCCACTCCTGGGGCTTGAACTTAGGTCTGAGCACTTTCCTTAGCTTTTTCACTTAAGGCTGGTGCTCTACCACTTGAGCCACAGCTCAGGTTCTGGCTTTTTTGAGTTAATTTATTGGAGGTAAGAGTCTCATGGACTTTCCTACCTGGCTGGCTTTGAACCACAGTCCTTAGATATCAGCCTCCTGAGTAGCTGGGCTTATAGGTTTGAGTTACCAGTGCTCAGAAATGTATGTTTCCTATTTGACAAGTTCATTTTTGTTTTATTTTAATATTTACAATATATTGGCGTGCTGCCTCCAAAGTTTCTAATAAAAAATATGCTGATAAACTTACTTCTCTCTTGCTATTCTCAAGATTTTGGCTTTTGACAGTTTGATTATAATTGTCTCGGTGTGGGATTGTAAGATCATCCTTAGAGTTCATTAAGATTCTTGGATGTTTATGTTCATCTCTCTTGTCAGAGTTTGGAACTTCTAAGGCATTATTTCTTCACGTCTGTCTGCCTCTTTCTTCTCTTTCTGAAACCCCTATATGTATGCTGGTACACTAGGATAGCATCCCACAGACTCTTGGTTCACTTTTCTTTCTTTTCTTTTCTGTTCCTCAGACTTGATCATTTCATGCTGATTCTTTCTTCTGCCTCCTAAAAACTGAAGCTCTCTAATGAAATTTTTATTTCAGCTATTTTTCCTTTTCAGCCCCAGAATCTCTTTTTGGTTCCTTTTAGGTTTTCCATCTTTTTATTAAGATTTGTTTTGATTGTATAACATTGTTGACTTTATCCACTAGATAACGTATCTTTAATTCTTTCAGCCTCTTTTTAAAAACCTTTGTGTAATAGATCTGAAATCACATCCTTTACAGGGATACTTTCTGTTGGTTTGTGTTGTGAATGGACTATGCTTTCCTTGTATGTCTTGGGATTTTTTGTTGAAAACTAGGCATTTTAACCTAATAATATGGTAGCTCTGGTAATCAGTTTCTCTTCCTTCATCAAGACTTGCTGTTTTAGTTATTTGAGGATTTTGTTATTGTTGTTATAGGCTGTCTTTACACAAAGCAGCAGCCCAAGGTATAAACTTAAGGTCTTCTCAGGTTTTTAATTTTTTGTTGTTGTTGTTTCCATTTGAGGAGGTTGTTTGTTTTTGTCAGTTGTGGGCCTTGAAGTTGCCCTGGATGCTGTTCCTCAGCCCTTCAGCTCAAGGCAAGCGCTCTACCACTTGAGCCACAACGCCGCTTCCAGTTTTCTGGTGTTTAATCGGAGAGAAAAGTCTCAGGGAGTTTCCTGCCCAGGCTGGCTTTGAACTGCAATCCTCAGATCTTAGCCTCTTGTGTAGCTAGGATCACAGGCCAGAGCTACCGGCACATGGTTCCACTTGGTTTTGCTTTTGTTTGTTAACCTTGTGCCTCTCCCTAGGTAGGTACAGCCATTTCCTAGTTTTCCTTATATATGTAGTCCGGTTTTTTGCTTTTGTTTTTGTTGCATATGCTAATCATATCCCCAACAGGGGAAAAAGAGAGAAAAAGGAGATATGAAAGGCCCTGGCACTTTAAATTCCCTGGAAGTCACTGTAGCTGGAGAGGGTGATGCTTGCAACCATGGGGGAGGTAGAGCAACAATGGCCATCAGCATCCCGGTCTACATCTCTGTGGTCAGAAGTAGCAATCAGAGCACAGATCCCTGGTATTTAGACGACAGGATTCTTTTCCCACCCTGGCTTCTATAAGCCATGTGCAGAATGCTCCAGGAACCAAGACTGCCTGCCACAGGCAAGATGGGGAGCTGCTACTTTTCAAAGAACTGAAATTGATCACAATCAACCACAACGTATATGAAGTTGTAAGCCTTCAATAAGCTTCAGAGTTCCACAACAGTGTCAGATCTGCCAGTGTCCTTGGGGGTGTAGATGTCCAAGAAAATTCCTAAAAGTCTGTGCTTTGTATCCACCACCTTTTCCCCAATCCCTCCTCTCGTAGCTTTATGTCTATATTTCAATCTATGATCCACTTTGAGTTTTTTTTTTTAATGAGATGTGAGTTTCATGTTGAAGTTTTTTGTTTGTTTGCCTGTGGATGTCATATCCCAACACAGTTGAAAAACCTCATTTCTTTATATCTTTCTAGAAATCAGATGGGCATACTGGTATGGGTCTTTCTATTCTGTTGCATTCATTTGTGTCTGTCTGTCCCTTTACCACGACCACACTGGCAGGGCTGAGCATATGGCTTAGTGGTAGACTTAGTGCACTTAGTAGGCCCCCATAAGTACTCACAGGAGGAAAAGAGCAGATTTAGTATTCGTCTACTTTGTTAACTTAGCCAGCCACCCCTTTTTCCTCCCTGACAGACAACAGAAGACTTGGCTGAACATGCACAGACATCATGAAAAGTAATCTTACAATAAATCCCCGAACAGATCCGGCTAGACACTGGCCTCATAGCCAACTATTTTAAGCTGCTGCGCATTTATAGATCATCTTTCTAGCAAGCCTTACGATGTCAAAGCATTTATCTATGAGGAAGAGTGGACTGCAGTAAAATAATTAGTTTACATCGAAAGCATTCCATTCCCAAACAGAATTTAAACAAAAAGCTCTCCTCTCTGAAAACGGGCTTTCTGGGTAAAGAATCCCACTGCTCTGAAATCTTGGGCTCTCAGACGGGTGGGGTTGTTTCACTAAATTTATTTCAGCCACTTATAGAAACAGAAGGAGAAAGAGGGGGTGGGGGCTGTGAGCACACCAGCCCTGGCTCTGTAGTATTAATATCTGCCAGGGCCTGCTTTTATTTCAGTTTTGTTTTACTGGGGGGGGGGGAGGAGGGGGAAGGAGTAGACAAACAGCTTGCAGCTTCTGAGCTGTGGTTTCCCACCTTTCTCCCTAAACATTTCCCAAAGGGTGGGCAAAAGCCATACCCACCTCCTCTACCTCAACTTGGGGCAGCTGGAGGGTAGATTGCCCACATCCTGCACCCCTGAATACCAAGCACTCCTGTCAGATGTGGTACCTTTGGCATCAGCTTTTCTCCCATTCCCAGAGACAGAGCGAGAGAGAGCACACACAAGAGCATACAGGATACCAGAGGCTTTGTCCCGACTCCTTACCCAACCCTACATACCCACCTAGAAACTCCATACTTGAATCTAGGATTTATTGGCTACAACAGGCCTTACAAACCCTGAGACCCTCCTCCTAAGCTCCCAAAATGCATGGAGTGCACATTCTCCCCAGTCCCTGATACCTGGTCAGTCTCTTCTACCGTATTAACTAGCAAAAGAATTTCTAG